CAACGCTCTGGGGGTCCAACGGCTCCGTGTGTGCACCCTATACGATCATTTCTGATAATAATGACGCAATAGCCCCGCCTCTCCCACTCTGCTGCTCACCCCGCGTCAAGGTAAACTGCACACTGAATTCAGATTATTTATCTTTCTCTCGATATGGACATAAACGCGAGTGAAGTCTAATCTGACAGGACGGAGACACGCAGCTCTGCTCACCTGCAGCTCCTCCCGCTGTGATGCAGCGGTGAACGGAGCCAAACACACACTTCAAGTCAGATTCATCGCCCTTAGCTATTTTAATTACCTCTCAAACTACCTAAACTAGTAATAAATATGTTTATTTTTACTGTCGGCCGGGTCACTCATTACTGGATCAGCTGCTGCTTGAGACTGACGCTGTCAGAAGAGAGGGAGGAAAAAGAGAGGCTCCGTGTATTTTATTATATAGAGTCATTATTCATTTGTTTTAAAGCTCAATAAATAACAAAGAAGACCGTTGACCGGCACTTTTATCATTTTGTCCGGAAGATTTAAACTTTAACACACGTTGACTGGCGAAAAACTCTGCCCGGTTCCCTCGGCCCCCACCGCGGAGAATAAACAGAAGGGCAACCATGACAACCATGCTTCTTCGCTGCTTTTGTGGAGGAAGTTACAGCGCCACGTACAGGCTCGGCATATGTACTGCAGCTTCTCCAGCGGTTGGAGCTAAACGGAGCTGTCTCGTGTGGACAGACACTATCCGGCGTCTATTGCGTGTGGACGGAAGCCTTTTTGCGATTGCGTTAATCCTATGCGTTTAGCCGTATGCGTCCTCGTGGGGCCGGGGCCTGAGTGTTTGCCTCGGACAGACTGCTTCTCTGTGCCATGTTCATGTTGTTCTGACACTCTGCTGACACTAGAGTGAACACATGTTGGTCAGTGTGTGCCTTACTCGGATGGTCTCAGAGGAGAAGTGGCCCTCTGTGATCATCAGGTTCCCAGTGTCGTCCAGTTTGATGATGGCCCCCGCGTTGGCCTGGACTTCAGCCTCAAAGGCCTGATGTTTCTGCAGCTTACCCTGTGAAACAGAAAATACATTTAGATATGAAACACACAGGCTAACCTTTACTGTGATCGAAGTATTCTGGGACGGATCCAACGGCAAGTAAACATCTATTCTACGGTTTAGAAAGTGTCTACAGAGGAAGCAGTGGGCTCACCTGCAGGTTGGAGGGGTCCTTGTAGTTCTCATCAGAGGCAATCTGCAGCTTCTCTTGGATCCACTTCTCCAGCTCATCGGCGTCGCGGCGGAAGAACTGGAAGCGGTAAGAGTCCTCCAGCTTGGTGCGCCGCATGATGGACAGCTCTTTGAAGCGGCGGTAGCGGTCCAGCACCTGCTGCCGGCGCTCCTGGATGTCATCGGCTGTCTCCAGCACTTTGGCCCCTGCGGTGTCCATTTTCTGGAAACACAACATAAAAGCACTCATTAATTAGTCATGCAAAATAAAAAATAAAAAAGTAAAGTATAAAGGTATAAGCTGCACATTAGTCTTGCAACATTCTCTTGCACTATTTTATTGTTTTTTTATTTCCTTTATTGTGTTATGTCTTATATGTATGTTGCATTGTTGCATTGCCATTACTACACTGGAGCTACTGTGATTATGACAATAGAATCTTTGAATCTTGAATCTATGAAAGATTAGTTCATCGGAGTGATATTTTAAGATTTAAAATTCTCAGGCCATTATATGGAAAACACTTTTATTACCATACAGTAATATGGCACTCCTTTGTGGTGCTAAATTGAAAAAAGTGAATGCATTATTTATGATATAAATGTCTAAGAAATGTGGGCTTCCCTTGAAGAAGCTCAATCCTCACTTTTACAAGTTTTACAGTAACAGTTCACACTTGTTTTTAAATATCATACCATCATAGATGCTACCCAGCTGCAGACAATCTTGCACAATAACGCTCATTAAACCCTCTATGACAAAAATCAACATACAATGGGACAGGAACTTGGCTTGGAAATATACGGCAGGATATAAAGACTATTTGCCAAAACAAAAATCCCACATCCTGTCTCAAGCTGAGCGACCAAACAGCACAAACAGTCAAATGTCAAAGGGGGATGGGATGGAATTCCACATGCATGCGGACAGTTTCTAGGCTACACTACACAATGGGATCGCTGCAGTCAGCTTCTCTGTCCACTGTGCCTGTGGCCCCATGGTCAGTAGGACTGTGGCTCATTTGAGCTTGCAACCTTGTTAAAACATGACAAATGAGATTTAACACGGGCATTCAAACCAGCTTCATTTCCTAGAATGGTGGAATTCATTATTTGCTTCTGTGCCAGACCGCACCCTCCGAAAGACGGACACAAAGAGGAAACTAGAGAGATATTGATCTGTCTATCCAAACCAAGGTCAACCGGACCAGAGAACAATAGTTGATGTCCAAGCTGAGTGCAGGGTGGAGGGGGGGGGATGGTGTGGGCACTATGGCAGGCCTAAACGTAAATGAATGTGGGTTTTTGTCGATGTTGCAGATTAGACAAAAAGCAAAGGATGGATGATAGTGTCCTGGTCCATGTTTACACTCAATGGGATGATTAGTACCGTCAGCAGTGCAGTTGCTTTTTTAACTAGAGGCACCATTAGCTTCCTGACAAGAGGGCCCACACACACAGAAAGACCCAACATAGCACCACTGAATACACTGTAAGCCGATTCGTGGCATCAACCCACTGCCCGAAAAACTGACAGTCCAGAATTTTAGACAGCACCCCTCCCCCAACTCCTGACTTGCCCCAGTCATACAGAGCTTAAATGTTCAGAGTGATTTAACTGACCTCATCCGTATTCTGCAAAGTGATGTCACCTAAAGGGGACACACAAATGCTACAGACCACCTCCAACTTAAACATCAAAAGGTTTCGCATCCTTGTAAGATTTCACTGTTGTGATCTCTCCCACCTTCTAACTCCTGCAAAATGACACATTTGATGTTTACTACCTAGTTCAGGGGTCGGCAACCCGCGGCCCTTTAAGCCCTCTGCTCTGGCTCCCTTGAGTTTAGACAAAAATAAGAAGGAAATAAAATAAAAGTATTTGTAGGACTATTTATATTTTGTTGCATGGTTGAAAATGTTTCGTATCTTGTATTTTGAGGTGATACTGTGACACATAAATAAAAAACAAAACGGTTTTTTTAATGCGTCACATCCTGCTACGGTCCCGCACGAGCGCCTTTTCCTGTGGGTGAATAACCTGACCCCCGGCTCGATGAGTGAACTATGGATAAATCAGAGAAAAGTACCGGAGGAACACAGGATTTAATTCTGTGTGGACAGAGTTATCTGCTTTCACAGCAAACGATGCTGTTTGATATGTAGAGAGAAGTTGTCAACGGTGCTGCAGCCTTTACGTATCAAGGAACAACAAGGGAGAGGAAGACAGCTGACAATCTTCAGTCATAATTCAATGGGATATGTAATTTATTTCAGAAAACACTTTTTGTTATATTCCATGGAATGCTCTTAACATTCATACTGGTTTGCCTAGCCATGACACTGTACCTCTGAATCACTAAATAGGCTACTTTTGAATTTTTGTACATTAAATCTTGCCCTTTACAAACAGCATGACTACACCTTATTCCCTGGACATCAGATAACATATTACAATATATATTACTTTACAATCTATGTATGCAAAATTCTACTTATTCTGCTACATTTTTGTGCATATAAATCACAACTTCTATCAATACTACTTAATACAATACTCTAATATTTATATTATGGATACGTACAATGCTGCCTTTTAAATTGAATAATTGCAATGAAATTGACCTCAATGAGTCCTGCAGAGATGCAATTCTTGACTCTTTTATGAAATTATATTTGCAAAGCTTTCTACAAGCTGAAGACATGTAAAATACAGAATAAGGCAGGTATTGCATTTGATATGATGTCTACGACTTTTGAATATCATTGACGTACTTTCTTATTTTGCGGTGTTCATTATATTAAACAGATGCATCTGTTTGTATCTGTATCTGAGTGGATCAACACTAAATCTTATCTTAAATATACACATACTTCATTTTAACTTTCTATTAGGATGAGCCAAAGTCAAGGGCTGATTTAAGTCTTAATAGGAGTCATAAGAAATTCAATCTTCTGAGGCTGGAAGAATAACTTTTTCTCCAGTGGGCCGACAGCAGCTCTGATGAACTGATCATTAAAGATTTGGCGAGCCAGATGGAAAAATAGTTACATAATCTTTATCTTTGTGAATATTAAACCCCAAAAGAGTCTTTGAAAAAGCCTCAAGTAATATTCAGCATTCATGAAAATGTGTGTAACTCGGTTTTAATAAAAAGTGAAATAGAGCCGTATAATTCCAATATCGCAATTTGACATCCATTTTTTAAACTCAAGTCCAATCATCCAATCTTTTGACAATTTACCGAGAACCGATCCTTTAGTGTGTTCAAGAGTTTGAGTTTGGGGTGTTTTCTCAGATGAGTGAGTGAAGTGGAGTGAAATCGACCCCATTATTATTTTAAAGGGCACACAGGCTAAATCTATAGCAAACGGATGACTTAAAATCAGTGCAGGAAACTTCTCTGTGTAATACTACAAGGCTGAGTGGTGTCCTTGCACTTTTTACCAGTTGATGGCAGCAGGATTCCTCTACAAGGAGACATGAATAGAGATGTATCCCGATGTAGTGACAGTATTGACATTACAAATATAGCGTGTGTATGATTGTATATTGTCACTACATGTTGTAAAGTCTTCTCTGAAAAACAAATTCTCTATTGACACAAAAGCCACAAAAACAAGCATGTAAGCTATTTGGAAAAGTTCACTGTATTTAAAGAGTCATACAAATTGGTAAATAGACTGAAAGAATATTTGAATAGATATTGCAATCATTAAAAAATGTTATATGTTATGATATTTCATTATATATAAGACAATGATTATTTCA